TTATAATTATTTATATTATATTTTATGAATATCATTATGACTTGTCATAATTATTATTTCTAACAATAACATTTTCTAGAATAGGAAACTTGGAGAAGAAACTTGACTATAGTCAAGAAACAAATGATGGAGCCAGAATGCAAATACATCCTATCTGTTTGAACCTTCTCCTGGGCTCAGAGCTTTGTCTGCCATTAGAAAAAATTTGACTTGAAGGACAGAGCCTTTGGTAACTTTTAGTAGTCTCTGCCTCAATGTGACTTAGAAAGCATGCTTTTTCCTTAGAGCAGGTGCATGGGTGGAGCATGTGATAACTGAAATGGGAAGAGTCCCTTAGGGCAGAGTAGGAGGGGAGGGGAGCTCTGAGGACAGAATCTGCCCACTGACAGCCTTGTTTGGGATGAATTGGCCCCATGGTTTGCTGTGATCTAGGATTAATTGAGCTGATTAACTCACTGAGCCAATCTGTCAGGTTTGGGTGGGAAGGGCAGAGTCCTTGTCTCTCTAGAGGCTCGAATTTGTGAACTTTGATGAAATACCTATAAATATCTCATGATGGAAAAAGAATTCTTTAATTCATGTGCTCTGCAGCAGAATGTTTTGGGAGTCCTAGACCTGGCTTTAGAGAAGTTTCTACCACAGAGTAGTGGGAATATTTCCTTTTTATTCTCGGAACTTCTCAGAGTAGAAGTAAGAAACTTTCTGCGGGTGTTCCAGACCCTTTTGGAGAGTCTAGTTCACATTTTCTAGGAAGAGTTGGCCATCCATGGAGTATGTCCCCTCCCCATAGATCCTGCAACAGAAAGCCAAGCAGATCCATTTGAAGTACAATTTGCATGTTGCAAACACACGTAAAATAGATCAGAACTGGAAGAGTGGAAACTATGAGCTCTCTGTTGGATACCACCTCTTTTTTTAAAGGTGAGTCTTCAAGCCGCACTGCACCATTTCCCTTTTCTTGCCTCCCACTCAGGACTGGGTTTTAGGACAGTTGCCATCATGCAGTTCTGTCTCTTGGAAAACCTGGAGTTCTAGGAATATGTTCCTGAGGGTGATGAAGAGATTCGGACACACCAGGGCTCCCCAACTTTCACTGGCTTCTGCTTGAGGCAGCACTGTCTTAGGTTCGATTCTTACTGCAAACGGGGTACATCGAAGGGAGTAGAGTGTAGTATCTTATACCTGCAGATTTCTGACTTGCAAAGTGTAGGGACAGGGAAGTCATAGAAGTGCATACTGATAATAAGCAATCAGTATGCATTGATACTGATCGATACTCTGATTCTACAATACTATGATGTCAATTTCTCTAATAGTAATCATAATAACGTTGGCTGTCACCCCACTTACAAGCCCCAAGTCACATCCTCTTTCTGGGGTTGGAGAAAGGGGTAATATGAGGAGTGGGAGAGAGCAAAGCAAAATTGTCTAGTGAAATCCTAGGGCAAATTACTCTTTATCTCTGACATGGGTTTATGCTCGCTTTGCACTGTGGGTTTTCTTTCCTCTGTCTCAGCCCTTATTCCCCCTTCCTCCTTCGTTTCCTCACATGCACATTTCCCCCTTTGGCTCTAATTTCTGCCATCAATCTCTTACCTCTCTATCCCCTCCTCACTATCAGTTTTCACATATACATGTAAAATGCTGATTTTTTTGCCCCGTCCGAAAGTTTGCAGGTTGTCAGGGAATTGCCATGGAACACAAAGGCTTGAGTTCTCAACCTGGCTTCTTTCTGACTGCTGTCTGCTAACCTCTGCCTCCCAGCTTAGTCCAAAGTTCACAAAATAGGACAACGTGAACTTGCCTTATGGGATATTGTAAAATCAAATGAACAACAGACATTAAAGCAAAAGTGAGAGAAGGGCTACAATTAGGATCACATGATTCAACACACACACACACACACACACACACACACACACACACACACACACTTTAACATTGGAAGGCCATTAGCAAGAAAGTGATTCAACTGGTAAAACCAGGAAATGTTTTGCTGAGAAGATGGCATTTTAGCTAGGCACTCTGTATACAGGTAGCTATGGAAAGGGAGGTTATATCTGAGTAAGGTCTGCTTAGCCACTGTGGGAAATAGAAAATTCAGAGAACAGATGGTCTGGGCAGTGTCAGGCTTGGCTGAAACATGCATAAGGAGAAATACTGGGGAAAAAAGTGGGAAGCAAGAGATGGCAAGAGTTAGAGGGCTCTGAAAGCCATGGTCAGTATTTCAGCCACTGCATTTGAAAACCATAGTAACCATTTTATTACATTCATGATTCATTATATTTTTAAAGCCTTTTATTTTCAAGAGGTGAAGAGGAGGTAAGAAGGTGGAGAGGACATAAAGAGTAAGGAGAAGAGGGCGTATCTGAAACTGTGTCCTTTCTCTCTGTTTAGAAAGAGAGAGGACCCATGTGAGGATTTGCTTAAAGAATTCTAGGATTGGCCATTTGTAATACTGATGTTTATGAAATATTGGTCTGACTGGTATGTATGAGCTAATAAATCTAACATTGAAAACTCACATAGAAAGCTCACTCAAAGTGTTATTTCCTTCTTTTAACTTGTGTGAGACATTTTATTTAGAATTTATCGAGTACCAGTATTAGGTATTGTGTGAAAGGAATTATGTTCTATGTTCTGTGAATATAAAAATGACTCTGTTTTTAGGACAGTGAAAAATACCCTGTAGGTTTTTATAATGATGGACCCATATCATTACACATTTATCCAGATCAGAATGTACACTACCCTGGTGAGTCCCGAGATAAACTATGGATTTTGGGTGATTGTGATGTGTCATTGTAGATCCATCGTTTATAGCAGATGCAGCACTCTGGTGGGGATGTTGATAGTGGTGTGAGCTTGGAGGCATGTGTGTGTGGAGGCAGGGACCATATGAGTAAACTCTGTAGCTGTCTCTCAATTTTGCTGTGAACCTAAAACTGCTCTAAAATATGAAGTCTTAACAGCACTGATGACAGCAGAGGACCCTATTGAGGGGGATGTATAATCTTGCTGTGCCCCTCTGAAACTAATTGGGAGCGAGCACTCTGATACTTTAAGAAAAGAGGTGACACTCAGAGCCACTGTGCCATCATCTTTGGGATGCCCGCAGGCCAAGAAATAAGTGATTTTTCTAGATTAATATCTTTACCAGGTGAGCAAGATCACAAAAAGTGAGCTGACACAGGTAAAACATTCTTCAAAGGAAAAAGGATTAAAATATTAAATATTTCTGCTAATAAAAATTTATATAAATATAATAAAAATGCCTATTAACCAAGTCAGTCAGATAATAAGATAATGTCAAGATATGAGATAACCTGCTTTTGTTTTTTTTTTGTTTTTTGTTTTGTTGTTGTTTTTCTTTTTTGCTTGTGCACCACTAGCTTTTCTATAAAATAAAATCAAATATTGGCCATACTTCCATAAAAAAAGGACATATAAATAAACACATGCAAATAACTTTATAGAAATTTTCTGGAATACATACAAAAAACCAAGAGGAGTTACTTTTGGAGACCAAGATTATAGTTTCAAATAATTTTGGGAGAGATTTTAATATTTTCTTTTTATATTCTTCTTTAAATATTTTATCATCATCATAGTTTATTCTATAGTAAAAATATAGTTAATAAAAGGGTATAAGATACTGAAAAATTTAATTCTTATCAATAGCAATGATAATCTCTAGCATTTGGGACAGCAATATCATA